GGCTTTCACATCTGGGTCGACACGAACCAGCCCTGGTGGGTTAACTGTGTTCATATCTGGGTAAAAATCTGTGCATTTTTTGTCCTCAGCTGACCGTTTTCTTTGGACCTGCTCTCCTGCTCATCTTCTGTGACTGCAGCTCAGGCCTGATGCTCCAGCCGTGACAGCGTGAGGACAGACTGCTGTGAGGAGCATGCAACACTGTCAGTGAGAAAGTAGGAAGCAGCGTGCTTCAAGTCAGAACCTCCAAAAGCAACACAGCTCTCAGCCGCCTTTGATTATTAACTTAAGGAGGACACCACAGACTTCGCTGCAGAGCTTTTGCCCCGCCCACGTGCTCCAAGACGTCCGAATTCCCGAGAAGGCTGTGTGAACAAAACCTGGCTGCGCAGGGGCGGGCCAAGACTGGACCGGGCTAGACCAGATGTGAAAATGCCATCACCGATGCACTGGTGCAATTGCATTTGCAGAATTGTGATAAATGGTAAATGGCCTGTATTTGACACAACATCCTATGGGGGTTTACAACATCCAAAGGCGCTTTCCAACACAACCAGTCATTCACCCATGCACACACACAATCACATACTCGTGGTGATGAGCTACAATTTAGCCACAGCTGCTCTGGGGTGAACTCTGGGTGTAATGAATAGAAAAGTTCTTCACATATAAACTGATGTAGGTTTAATGGACTCACAAAAAGCATTTGTTAAAAACAACACTATATTAAAGAGCAAGTCACCCCCTACCAGAGTATTACTCCGCTCCCACTTCCTGTTTGAAAAAATGCAACAAATGCTGTTGCCTAGCAGACCGAGGGCAGAGCCGCGTACAAATACACACACACACACACACACACACACACACACACACACACACACACACAGAGGCTCGTAACGACAGTTGACATCATATGGTACCAGCTAACGTTCTAAGGTACCTCTTAGCCAATAGCGATGGCAGATTTAAATTCAAATGCAGTGCAGAGTTTTTACCTGACAACGGCACAACTCTGACAGTTTTAGGCAGAAAATTAAAATTTTAACTAAAATGCACTAAAGTGCAAAACTATTGCCTACACATGTCTGCAGCACAATTAGACACGCATTTATATAGTTTATCAGAAAAAAAGTTGATTTGGGGTGACTTGCTCTTTAAGCAGGTAGCTTAAATGTTGTGTCTGATTAGTGTGTGATACCAGCCTTGCAGCTTAAACGAGCCCATCACCGTACACGCTGCTCGCCCAGCTGATTACCAGCAGCACCCATGTCATGCTCTGTTTCACACAGCCCGTGTAACTGAGACAGTCGCTCCATTCTTTGTTAAATATGACACCCAACACAATGTAAATAATTATTTCAACCGAGCTGAAACAGCAGTGATAAAGTGAACGAAAATGAGTGGAATCCAAACACTGAATTCTTTGTAAAATCTCAGTAAACATTTATCAAATACTAATTAAATATTATCTTCAATGTTAAATCAGTCGCTATGTGTGTCTGTAAAACTGTCAAATCAATGATAGCATAAACAAATAAATGAATACAGTGGATAAAAATCAACTGGGTGCTTTAGAAGATTTTTGCCTCTGTGTGTACACCCTGCTCCACGATTACGTAATCATTACAAATGCCTACAAGAAAATGAAGAAAAAATGTTTGCTCATCCTAATAGAAAAAAACTGTAATAACTAAAGAAGTGAATCATGCATGAAGAAGAAGAAAGAAAAGAAGAAGAAAATATCATTTCTATAGCGCCTCTCAAGATAAAACTCACGAGGTGCTTAAGAACCACCATGCAAACTAATGCAAAGGAAGCAATTAGCATATGTCAAATGTAATATGCTGTTGAGAGTGAGCTATTAACTGAACTCATTGGACCGTCAATGCAAAAGAAAAATGGAAGAACTGCAGAGCAGATGGTGAACTCTCAGGTTTGAATTGCTGGAAGTGTTGCATTTCAGTCTGGTAACTATCCAGGTAACTGGTTTATGCACGAGAAGGAAATCACAATAAACCCACACGAGTTTGATTATCTTTCCTCTGCATATGTCCATTCATTCGTCTGTATCTATTTTTATCATATTGTTCAGCATTTAGTTGCAAATAGTTCCTACTTCATACAAACCCACCCTCCGGTTAAAGGTATGCTCACCTGAAGTGGGACAAAAGCGTCTGCCTCCTCTGGCTGCCAGACCTCGACCACGCTGGTGGACATCTGACTCAGAGCTTCGCAGAAACAAAAACATTAAATGAACAAGAGCGCATGTAAGCTGGGTCTGTATGATCTTTAAGCAGATGCTTACCAACTACCATCTAACTTAACTATTATATGTAATTACAAACGAGTTAACTAAAAATCATCTGTGACAGATAAACAAGCATAAAGCTGAAGGAAGACTTCACCTCTGCAGGTTGACAAATGCTAGCTGCTTGTTTAGCAGGTTAGCTTGATGGCTAACGAACTTGGAAAACATCTCCAGTGCGGTTGCCCGATACTAAACTATTTAGCGAACACGAATAACCCTAAGATGCGTAATGAATGTATTAAAGTCACCATTATTAAATATCAATTCAAAGTCTTATTAGGGAGACACGTTACAGACTGAGAAAGTTTTGTTAAATCAAACCGCAGACTAGGGAACTGGCAGGCGAGCTAGCATAAACTATCATCAGCGAACGGGTCAACAGCACCCACCATACCGTATAGCTTCATTTAAAATCAAAATGTACATTTCAGATTATGTTTTACTGGCTGTGCATTTACGTTCCTTCAAAGAATGTATATAAACCCATGCAGCGGACCATTTTAGCTTTGTTTCCCAGTGTAACGCATACTGCCAGGTAGCATTTTTTTTTCCATCAACGAATAAACGTTCCAACCTCCAACAGTCACCAAAGGTGGACACGAACCTTGCAGCTGAGCCCCGCCGTGTTGAACGTTAGATAGAAGTAATTGCAGAAGTCCTAATAGTATATGGATCCACGTTTTCCTGTGACAGAGGCTGCCTTGCTGGAAGTCCCGTAGCCCCGCCATGCTGCCCTCTCCGCCGTGTGTTCCGCTGCGTTGCTTTCTTTCTCTCAGCAGCAGCAGCCAGGCGGTAGCCGCTGCTCTCTCCGCACCATCCGCCCGCTGAAGCGCCGCGTGCGGTGGGTGTAGCTTCCACTCGCGTCGCTCAGCGCGTCCGAATGTGAGGAAAATCAGCATTAAGCTACAATTAACATCCTAAAGTGGTGGATCACAACGAAAGGGTTGTTATTGTGGTATTTTACGACAGTTTCTCCCCCTTAATTCTTCCACAATACCCCATACTTACCTGTTATTTACACATTACTCAGTTTGTTAAATTGGTTTAAATTAAAGCCTACAAAAAATCTTTCACGTGTTTTTCCTACTGTATTTATTTTCAGTATTTCTAAATTTTATTAAAGTAAACCATGTAAATTCACCTTTCAACACTGTTGTTCAGCATCTGCATCATTTACTGATGGGACGTGTAATCTTAGATACTCAAGGTTTTTAGGACATCTATGTCACAATTTTCCAGGGGAAAATACTGAAAGTTTTCTATGCATTATTTAACTTCTAAAATGGTGTAACAAAATAGAATGCATAAATATGATATAAATGAAAGCCTTTTATTGTTTTCTCTGCAGAATCTTGTTTACTTTTATTTTAAAAACCATTTTAGTTCAACATAAAGGTTGAATAAGGAACAGTATATATTTTTAAACATAACACCTCCACAGGGTGTTTAGAGGTGTGCAGAATGAACGTACAGTACTTCCTTTAATAGCTATATTTTAAAGGTGTGGTTGACTGAAAAAAACATTTTTCATTATTTCTGATTATAGTTGGTCACTAAGTTTTTCATGCTGGCTTAACATTAAAATGGTCTCTTACACACATCTCCAGCACTAGCTTCTAATAAAAACTAGATGATTGAAAACATGGGACCCAATGCCTCCCTGCTTGACACTCAGCATAGGGGTTGGATTGGGGGGTTGAACCACCAAATAGTTCCCGAGCGCGGCTTGTCTGCAGCTCACCGCTCCCCCAGGGGATGGGTCAAATGCTGAGAATAAATTTCGCACACACACCTGTGTGTGACAACTAATGGGACTTTTTAACTTTATGATGAAATGCGAAGATTTGAGAATCTTCACATATCTATGTCACACTGTGAATTTGCATTCTTGACTCCATTCTGCCCACATGAAGGCCTTTTATTTTTTTGCAGCAAGGAGAGAGAGCAGACTTTGTAACATGGCTGAACACGATCTCTTAGCTAACCAGAAGTGAGATGTGTGCATATAATTTATAATAATGAGAAATCATTCTGTTTTCAGCTTCCCTCTGCACCAGCAAACATCTGCATCACAGAACAGGAACGTCATAGCTTTTTAAATTTTAAATTATTCATAAGGCATTGATTTACACTAGAAAACACTACAAATGTACTGAATAAATGAGTAAATCTCAACCTTAATTAAAAACTATTCAAATATTTATTTTGACAGGCATGACAGTGGGTTTATGTTTACATCTACCAGCCTATAGAGGGCACCAATGCCAGTCCACTGGCATAGCAAGGCTGGCTCTGTGGAAAATTGCAGACTCAGCAAGTCAAGCAGCTGCTTCTGAGCCCAGATGACATCATTATCCTTTTTAGAAAAGGAGTGACCATAAAAGATCTAAAACCAGAGTGAGTTTAGATGAAGCCTACAACAGATGGACACAAATAAAAAAATTCACGTCTTAGCAGCAAACCTGGAATCCCGACGAATGAAAACCTTGTTTTATTGTTGCAATTACAACCATCACACCCTAGATGTCGCTTTGGTGTTCGTGTTCCATATTCCACCTTTAAACACTAAACCTGTAACATTATCACACTGCCCAAATGCATTATCTCAAATAAAAAATGAATGTACTTTCACTCTGGCATCTCAGAAAAATATTTAGCACAGTTAGTGACCCAAAGACATATACAACCAGTGTCTAAGTATGAGAACAAGTTTATTACAAAATGTTTCTGTGAAACTCTTAATCTTCCCAGCAGTGTTCAAACACAGCAAGCAGAAACCATCCAACCATATCTTAGGAGGCGGTATACTTTAAGCAGAAGTTCCAGGTATAGTCCAAGTTGCTGAGGAAAACTGAAACATCTTCTATGGTGTTGACATTCAGCGTGTCGGCTGCATGAATCAGTCAGGACTGGTTAGACAGGTACACACATGAAGCAACACCTCACACACGTGGGCGTGTCATGCAGCTGGGAGTCTACATTCTTTCTTCTCATGTTGCGTTAATGCTGCTGCAGTGATCGCATTTGCACAACTACAAATGTTGCTTTACAGTTCTCAAAAACAACAGAGTACTCACCTTTTGTGCAAAAATTGTTGCAAAGTGTTTAAAAAAATCTTTGTGGTTCATGCCTAACAAAGAGACGAGTTACACTTGAGACACGGTATCACAGGTCTAACACACCAAGGTTTTATTTAGTTAGTAGATTAATCTGACTTGAACGCTTTTTGACTGTGTGAGGAAACCAAAGAACCCAGAAAGAGCCCACGCAGCCCTGTAGAAGATAAAAAAGGCAATCTGCTCACAAACAGATCTGCACATTCAACATAGACCTTCATGCTATGAACAGGCGGTGCTGAAACCACACTAACGTCCTGCCTGCACAGAGCATATTTGAAATTTAAATCAACCAACCAAAGGCACACCGACTTTATCAACTAGGTCGAATGAGTAAACACAGAATACCCAAATACAAGGTTTGCATTAGTTTTAGCTAACATGGAAGGAGAAAAAAACATAACAGTCATTCTAGACTTTTTTTGGGTACATAAAGTGGGAAAGAAATGTTTCAATGACAGATTGTGCAACACCACGGGTGCAGTTTCTCAAAAAGATGAGCAAAAGAACAGGTTTGATGCACAAATATGCACGAGTTGTGCCAAGCTTGTCGAACAGTTTATTTAAAAGTAAAACCAATAAATATTTTTAACATTAACGGCAAAACATATAGCTGTAGCTTTATTCTTTTGGATGTGTTCTGAATAAAACAGAAAAATCTTAAATCTAGAGGAAAAAGGTTCACCCAATATTCCATCCCAACACATCTGTTTAAGACATAAATGCACCAATTAGAGATGCAGATGACTGAGTGTTGATTTCTTTCCATCAACAGTTTGGAGCTCTCAGTTTTCATGCAAACAGGTGTCCAAGAAGTCAAGCTGCTCACTTGTGTCTACCCCAGAACCCCTCACAGTCACTAATGGCTGGCTTGATCTTGTCTCCGGTTGCACCCAAGCAGTATCTCCACTGATGAGGTCCATCTGGCACGCTGAAACAGCACCTACTTCTAACTACAGGCTGTAAAAATGAACGGTGGTGCATTCATGTTTTAACTTTAAAGCTCAGAACAGAAACCAGAACAGAAGCTTTTAGGAAACTGAGCTTCAAACAGAATCTTTAACACATTTTTTCTTCTGTTTTGGTTGAATATTCCAATCAGTCCATGTAGTCAAAGTCCTCTGGGATGCCAAAGGCTTTATTAATGTGGCCATCATCAAAAGAAAACTTCTTTTTGGTCCAGGACTTGATGGCAAAAACGTTGTCTGCAAAAAAAAAAAAAATAAAATAAAAATAAAGACAATTTCACCAATAAAGAAAAAGCCTTTTAATTCAGTCAGTTGGAAAAAAGAAAGGGATCGACACCAAGTGATCTCGCCAACAAAACCTATTAATCCTAGTAAATATTCAGGCTTTAGCCAAAGATTTGACTATTTCATGAAAAAAACCTCCAGACAGAAATGGAACCCGTGACTTCTGTGAATGCAAAAAATCTTCAGTCAACAAAACATTTCTGTTAACCAGCACTAAGTATTTTTAGCCTAACCAGTCAGGAGACTGGTTACCAGTATGACCAGCGGTCCGATCTCATTACGAAGTCAACAAATGCACAAGTCGAGCTAAGAGCTGGAGGAGGATGGCTGGATTGAGTCATCTATTAGGAGAGGCTCAAACTTAGTTTTTGTTTCTACTGTTGTATAAATAAATGCAGAGATCTGTTTCCATTAACTGTAATATAAAAAACATATAAAACAACAAAAATCTAAATTTACCATCGTCTCAAATCTGAAGAGTTAACGTCCAACAAAAGTCTTCAACCATTAGAACAACATCCCATAATATTTCCTTTACTACAACACAAGCCATAAAACTGATGGAAATGTTGCCTCTTGAACAACAGAACTACACAATCCCATAGAAAAAAGTTCATATTTTTAAGACGAGTTTCATTCATCTTGAATTGATGTCCATGTATAAACGTAAAAATGACTCACCTGTCCACCTGGAGACAGCTTCTTTTGCCACTCCGTTGGACTTTCCTGTAAGACACCAAAAACCTCCATTTATTTACCACTTCTGCATAAATGGTTTAAACAGCAAAAGAAAAATCTGGCAAAGGAGACTTTTAAGGCAGATCCTGAACTCGTAAGACTGTCGACAGCTCAGTGAGATGCTGAGAAGTGCGCTGAGTGCTACAGTCAATCTCACGCCTGAATTGTTAGATGTGAGTGATATTGCTGGTGTCTAACTAAAACAACATTGGCTTAAAAAGCTAAAACACAGCTACATAATGAACCGTAACCAGTCTGAGCTGCTTCTTCAAATTAAAATCTACAACAGGAAGTAAGAAAATCCAGTGGCAGAAATTACTTTACCTTCCATTTCACATAAGCAAATCAATCTGAGGTGAGTGCTTCCATAGCAATAAAACCACATTTTAACTTGATACTGATCACATAAGTATTTGGGCTCCATATGGAAGTGATTAACAACCTTAAGTTTAGTAAAGATAAACTACTACAGGTTAACTGCCACAACAGGGTTGGTAGTTTATAACTGCAGATGGGAGGAGGAAGTAACCGGATACAGCAATGAAATCTAACTCATTAAACTAGTGCTTCCAATTTGGACTTGCCATTTTATCCTTATTGCTCTTTTATTTAGCAGGAACAAGGCTCCTTGATCAAGAATAGTGTTTTTATAAAGAAAACTGGTCTTTAATTGATTTCAAAAGATGTTTATCATTCACTAACTAGTGGGTGTTATAAGTACAAATAAACTGTTGTGATTTTAACCCCATGTGTAACTGCAGCTGCCTAATCTGGGAACTACAGGTGTGAGGAGGACTGTTGATGAACTAAATTAACCCAAAACACAAGCCTTTTGCCCTGCTGTGTGCACACCCACCTCACCTGTTACTACAACTGGTTTATGTGGGCGTGGCAACAGCCTCGAACCAGAACATTTACAGCTGCGTGTGACTTGGCTTGATCAAGAGGGCGTTGTCTGTAGGTACACTTTAGTGGAATAAAACCAGATGGCTCAGCAGTTTCTGGTTCAACAGTGAGTCTGGAACTGACAGACAGCTTCTGATCAACCAAAATGTTTTAATCAATTATAATTTCATGTTTAAAGATACTGGAAATAAGAACTTTAGCATACAAGGCTTTCTACAAGTCTGACTTTAATCTGCAGCAGACAAAACACGAGAAACCTCAGAGCACAGCTGCACACGCCTCTACAAGGTTCAATCATCACTAAAGAGATAGTTATCTTTAACAAAACCCTGTGTGTGTGTGCATGTGCGCGCGTGTGCGTGTGTGTGTGTGTGTGTGTGTGTGTGTGTGAGGCCAGAAAGTAGATAATCAGACCTGCAGGCACGTAGACAGCTGGATGAAAACAAAGTTTGAAAGTAAGAGCACACAGGTGATTTCCCTTCTGTCTCAAATATTTGTCTAAGACATGTGGACAGCCTTGGCGGACACCACCAAGGCTGCCCTTTGTCACTGATACCATCCACAACTGTTATGGACAGGATATCTAGGTGCTGTCAAGGTGTTGGGCGGTTTGTTTTGGTGGCCTGAAGTTTTTTGTAGATATTGTGGTCCTGTTAACTCTCTTAGACTGATCTCCAGCTTTTACTTGGAGCGGTTCGCAGTGGAGCGTGAAGCAGCTGGAATGAGAATCAGCTTCTCTAAATCCGAGACCGTGGTCTTGGATCGGAAAAGGGTAGAATACCTTCTCCAGGTCAGGGACGAGGTCCTGCCTAAAGTGGAGAAGTTTAAGTATCTCGGGGTCTTGTTCACTTGAGGGAACAATCGATAGGCAAATTGGTGCTGCATCTGCAGGGATGCGAGCGTTGTACCAGACCGGTTGATCAACATTCCAACCCTCACCTACGGTCACGAGCTTTGGGTAGTGACCGAAGTATGAGATCGCAGATACAAGCAGCCAAAATGAGCTTTCTCCCCGGGGCGTCTGGGCCACCCGATTAGAGATAAAGCGAGAAGTAGATCTGCTGCTCCGCCACATCGAGGTGTCAATTGAGGTGGTTCGCGCATCTGGTTAGGATGCCTCCTGGACGTCTCCCTGGTTAGGTCCAACCAGGAGATCTAAAAAAGACCTAGAACACAATAGAGGGGTGGCCTGGGAATGCCTCAGGATAACCCCCGAGGAGCTGGCTCAAGTGGCTGGAGAAAGGGAAGTCAGGGCCTCTCTGCTTAGGCTGCTGCCCACACCATCCGACTCCAGATCAGCAGATGGATGGACACAGCAGCATTTATTGAATTAGAATACATTCTCAGAAAAAAGACCATTCTCTTAGTTAAAACCTGGTCACTTATACTCTTAGTGAAGTCAGGTATCATCTCCCTGGAGTTTAAAAAGAAAAAGTTCCTCTTAGCCATCGTCCACAACTCTGCAAATGCTCATGTCAGGGTCGGACAGCAGCTCCAGCACTACCTTCTCTGGCCAAAGCATACCTACTGTCACCAATCTGGGTGACAAAATGGACTCACAACTCACCTTTGACACCCACAACAAACACCAGTGTAAGACTTATTATTATCACCTTAGGCAAAACCACGTCGAATGCTAAGCCAGGCAGATGCAGAGAAGCTTGTCCATGCCTTTGTCTCCTCCAGTTGGACTACTGTAATGTTCTCCTCATCAGGGTTTCTGGAGAAACCATTCAGACTGCAATACATCCACAGCAGGGCTGCTAGGATATCTATTTACACACATATGTACGTAATAATACTTTAACTATGAATAAAAGTAAAACTGTAATTAACAAATTTTGTTAAAATGTCAACAATTAATTAATTAATTTAGCTTCATTTTCAACAGATGGAGTCAAACAAAAAAATTCCACTTATCAGCAACAAATCTGGTATCCCGATGGCTGGAAACCTTGTTCTATTGTTGCAGCAACAACCTCGACACACCAGATGTCACGGAGCTCTGAAGAAAATCGCGGGAGTCGTTGAAAAGGCAACAAAAAATAAGTTAGAACCAATCTACCAGTGTTGATGAGGGAAGCCTGTCATTAATATTTAACTAGTTTATGGTTCAAACAGCCATCCTTCACATGCAGAACGTTTCTGACTGCTGGCAGGTGGTATGTTCTGATGCTGAACCTTAAACTCTATAAACAGTGACAGTGTGATTCTTACAACATCTCACGATTCAATTCGATTCCAATTCTCGGGGTGAAGATTCCATTCAGAATCCATTCTCAATTCAAATCGATTCACAATAAATATTCTTAGCAACAAAGGATCAAAACCAGGATGTACTACTTTCTTCTGTAAGCTAGAAATCTGCCAGTTGTCTGATGTGGAGAGCCGTGAACGTAATGAAGGAGTGGGTTGCTCTGGAAGTCCATGCATCATTTACTAGAATGATACTTTACAGAAGCTGTTTGACTGCAAACAGTATAAGCAGAGAATGAGCTAGGAAAGGTTAGGTCACTGCCGAGCTGAGCTTAGATTTTAACATGTACTGTTTAACCATGAAATTTAAATGTAATAGGGTAAAACCCAGTGCATTTAACATAATGCTGCATTTTTGAAAATGGGTTGAAATATAACATGTTGGTGGAGCTGGGTTCCGACTATCGGTATGGTCTCCCTCTCCCCAGCGACAGCTCAGCGCATCTCTGATTGCAGCTGCGCCTGTCGGCTTGGGGAGCTCTCGGAGACCTCTGTGTTCCACCCAGTTTTACCCAGTGGTCAGCACGGCGGATCTCTGACTCAGAAGCTCCGGTGTTGTGCACAGTTATCTCCGGTTGTAGCTAGGTAGCTACCTCCGATAGCTTAGCTCCCACCTCCGCGTTAGCTTAGGGCAGGGGTGGGGAACCCTGGTCCATCGAGGGTCGCTATCCAGCATATTTTAGTTTCAACCCTGCATCATCACACCTGATTTCACTCAGCAGGTGATTAACAAGCTTCTGCAGAGCTTGATGAGCTGCAGAACAGAACCAACCACTGAATCAGAAGTGTTGGAGCAAAGACATGCAGGATACCGGCCCTCGAGGACCAGGGTTCCCCAATCCTGGCTTAGGGGTAGCTTGTAGCTACATTGCTTCAGTTTGACGGGTGTCGTCATTTGATCCCAACCTTACAGCCCCACCCTCAGCTCCACCTTTTCCCTTTTTTGGAATTTTCTAGGTTTGACGGAACCTGTGACACGGTCAAAATGGCGGTGGTGGCCACCTCCCATTTTGGCTCAAAAATTTATAATTGAAGCCAATGGGCATGAATTGTCCAGTAAATATGTCGATGGTGGAGACCTTCAGTACCGCTGTTCCCCAGTTCTCCCACTAGATGCTGTTCCTACGCATGGTCAGAGCTGTTCCTATGTTTAGGAACATTTTCACGCTTAAGTACAAATTGGTAAATACCACACAATGCATAAATTCGTGCCTACGCACAAAATAGGCCCAGATGTGTGCGTAAGTACAGTTGATAAATTCAATTCAATTCAACTCAAAGATACTTTATTAATCCCAGAGGGAAATTAGAGTTTCAGTACACACAATTCTGAGGTCAGGCATAGACACATGACAAGAATTGGTGACTGTGGTCATTCGCAACCCGAGTCGCGCTACCTTAATAGAGATCAGTGGGTTTATATGAGGATTGAGTCAGGTGGAGGGAAAAAAGGCACTTCAGAGTTACCCTCCACAGGAAGGGCAGCTTTGCTACGCAAAAAACACCTCAGACAGAAATGCAGCAGACTTCAGATATTACACAACCTAAGTGTCCACTAGGTGGGGAGGTAGGGTTGGGGACTCTCCTCACATCAGTGCATGCAGCCGCGACAAGCAGCGCTCATCACCTCTGTTTGGACAGGGGAGGGAGGTAGTTGGGTTTAGAGAGCACAGTGACTCCTGGAAACAATTCAACGGCCTTCACCGGTCGCAGTCCCACCCAGGCTGGGATAGGGAGACAGAGTTGCCATGGCGACAGCAGCATTCCACATTTCTTCTGAGGGGGAGTAATCACTTCAGCCTCACAGGCTCAAGGGCACCAGTTTCAGATAAGAACTTGTTTGGGGGCAGACACAGATAATTTCCTCTCTGCCTTAAAGTTCTGTTGGTCCTCAACCTCTCTAAATCCAATAACGGTGTAATTAATCGATCCCAATCCGTGCTGATCCATCAACTCGCTCCTTGATCGAATCCACCTTCTGTGCCAGAGTCTGAATCTCAGCCAAAGTTCCAAGCTTACGACTCATCTCGACAATTATATGAGTCTGTGCGTTCACAGCGCGGTGTAATCCATCCCTGAGCTCCAGGATTGAGCCAATATTCCTCGACAGCTCATTAATTTTCCAGTAAGCCAGATAACCACTCAGGCCAAAAAGTAGTAATCCCGACACCAACATAACGAATATCCAGACGTCTTCAGAATCCTCTACAGACAGTTGAGAGGCAGATCAGGTTCCACTGTTTCCAGGAGTCCATGATATGTCCAGCTGGCTCTGTCCCAGAGGGGCATCCAGGAGCCCCTTCTCCCATTCTCATCGTTGAAAAAATCTTGTCAATGGCATTGAGAGACCAACTGACCAGATCCATTTTTAATAATTTTCAGTTTCCAGAAAAATGCAGAAGCGCCGTGCACCCAAAGACAGACAAAGAGCTTTGGGATAAGATAGGGAGAGGAGGAAAAAAAGCGTCTGTCCAAGAGCCGGAAGAAGAATGATGCCCCTGACGTTTTTTATCCTACCGTCTGACGTCTGAGGCAGTTTGTTGCTGTTTGATGTTTTCTAGAGACCTGATATTGTCCTATAATGTACACAGTAGCCCCGATCCAACAGAAGAATGAATTTCACAGATCCTTTGTAATTAATTATAAATCATCCGATCACTGACCAGAACATTCAGGAGTTTATTCAAACTGTCATCATGAAAACTGATGCAGAAACGTTTGCGACGATTGAATTTTGTGTTGTTCTTAAAACTTGGTCAAAACTAGTTTTTTTCCTCGTCTAATTTAACCTTTGAACAAGAAAATAATCAAGCCAGGGTAATCTGACCGTACTCACCCCTCTGTGAACCAGTTTATGGCCTCAGCGTTAAATATGATTGTAATTAAAATGTGTGAGAAGACAGCTAAACAACTTCTTTCATGTCCAGATAAACTAGGAGTTGTTGTCTTTAGCAAAACACCAAGTCTACAAAAATAAATAAATAAATAAAATAACTAACACAACTGAATCAAGATGTTCTTAAAAGTTGGGAAAAGAAAAAACTCAGATAAAAGTAAGACTTTCATACTGTGTTTTATTGTGTAGGAGGCACGTTTCCACCAGTCAGGAGCTGTGAATAATAACTTTTAACTCACGTATTTGCTCGATGACTTCTGGGTCACAGTCGCGGTACTTTTCCAGCTCGGCTTGCAGCTGTGTTCGCTCCTCTCTCAGAGCCTGCAGCTCCTTCATCAGAGAGTTTCTTTCTTTCTTCTCACACAAATATTATTTTTAGATTATATTTGACCAACGGGTAAAAATGTTAATGTGCTGATTTTGTGGTATAAATGTGTTCTTACCGTATCTTGACGGCCGACTTTTGCCTTGTCGACTGATTTCTCTAGAGACACCTTTCGCTGTTTAGCATCAGAAATCTAAAAAAACAAACAACATTTCATCAGCACAGGCTGAAGGAACACTTAGAAGCACATGATTTAAGGGAGACTAGGCAGTTTTCGCTAGCTTTTAGCACCCCCTAGTGTCCATTTAGTAAAATCAAAAGCAAAACTTATCTCTTTGCTGTGCGTTGTCCTTGTGGCACCTCAATCTGAAATGTCTCTTGTAATTGAAGTTTTTGTCTCATACATGTGACTTGTTGTGATTTTGTGGTCTACTTCTCCACAGTCCAGGCAAATATTTTACACTCACTTTGTTTATACAGCTGCTAGTCAGGCAGCCTTGACGCCTAGCTAGGAAGTAAGTTATGTCTGCCAAGTCCTGAGTAGGAGGGGAGAAAAGAGGATGGGCCGGGTGGGGGTGTTCTTATATTTGTTTCGTCAACATGTGTGTCTGTCTTGCAGGACTATACATTTGTATGTATGTGTTCTGGGCTCATTCTGTGACCTTCACAGAGTGAGACCCAAACGCCCTTCGGTAATAAATAAGATAAAAAGACAGAACGTTCTAGCTTTATTGTGTTTCATCGGTTTCGTGTAAAATTTCCATGACAATATGGCACCCCAGAAGGGGCCCTACGAGTGAGTCACTGAGGATCTGCTCACCAGTGGAAGGGCCACCCGGGACTAAAAAGACGGTTCCGCCTCACCGGACTTGACATTTACGGGAGGGAGGGCGGTGACTGTTGTCGGTGACCAACACAAGGGTCCTCTACGTCCAGAATAGAGGAATTGTTTCATAAACGGTGAGCCACAGACATTTCAGTTAGTTTGTGGTAATCTTATGTTGTTAGTCTGGTTTGTTTTGTTTAGTCTGTTTAAAAGCGTTTAGTGTTTCTGAGTGTTGTGTAGGCTCTGTTGGGATGAGCCTGGGTGCTCCCTACAGCAGGTCTGGCGTGGCCTGCTAAAAGGAACCTAGGCTGGCGTTCAGCAGGCCTACATAGCTCCTGTTCAAAAGCGTAAAAAGAAATACAAAACTAGGGCGGTGTCCCTAGGACAGGTCCGGCATGGCCTTTGTGATTTTTAGCCCTTTTGGGTCGTTTTCCAGAGACTGCTGTGTCGGACAACAGGCTGTGTGTGAAGACGCTCAAGAGATAAGAGTAAAAACGGGTTCCCATAAAGCCGGTACCGGCTTCATTAGTGTCTACAGGAGCTACTCATCACTAAATTAACAAATATGCTGTGATCACAATCTAAAACATGCAGGAAACGTGCTGGAAACAGACCGAAGAGCCAGGTATGCAAGCTCAATTTTAACAGACCGGACCGGCACTCTGAAGCTGCAAAAGCAGTATTCTGGCCACAGAGGGCGGTGGGGTCTGAGTGACATTTCATTCACCCTGTAAAGAGTCATTTTAGCCCATAGCTCAAGGAAACTATTTAAAAATATGAAAAAGTTGCAAAGTATCCCTTTAAATTAATTAAAAGCTGCATGGTGGCACAGTTATTAGCACTGTTGCCTCGCAGCACGAAGGTTGCAGGTTCGAAACTCGGCTGCGGCCTTTCTGCGTGGAGTTGCATGTTTTCCCCATGCATGCGTGGTTTCCTCCGGGTACTCCGGTTTCCCCCACAGATCACAACATGCCCTATAGGTTATAAACTGTAAGTCGCTTTGGATAAAAGCGTCTGCTAAATGAATAAACATGAATAAACATAAATCAGCATCAGAGAACTTGATAAGGCAACCTCAGCATTATTGAAAGCTAATGAAACACTCATCGGGTGCTTGTTAGGGCATCATTGTTGATTGTGAAGATTTGTGACTTTTTGCACTTTCTGTTAAAAGACTGATTATTGCACATTTTCCACAAACTGCAAATGCTGTGTGCGTCATATGAATAACATTTAGCATGAACACTCAATGTCCGCCCCAGAAATCTCGTGGCTAACGTTCTGAGAGGAGTCGCCGCCCTAGCACCATCTGCCAGCCTGATGACAGGAGGAAGAAGCAAGTCATCATAAACCACAAGACGTTCAAATGGGAGCAGACTGACGATGTTCTCACATGAAACTGTCAGCTGGAGTTGGAAATAAAGCTCACCACTGCTTCTGTTATCTGTCATTTTAATTTTAAACAAAAATGTTATAAAGGAATAAACAGCAAATACATCTGACTCCTTTTGTCTCCTCGTTCTCATTTTAACCTTTTTGGAAGGAGTTTCATTGTCATGTTTAAGCCGAGCTTAAACCAGAAGCACCGAGACAGAATTAAGCTTCTCTGAAACTAAAGTCCATCTTCTCCTGTCTTCAAGTCGAGTTTTTACTAAACCGAGGAAGAGTAGAACGTGCATGCTGGTCTGTGCAGACTCACCTGTTTATTCAGCTCCTCCAGTTTGTGTTTGCGAGCATTTAGGGCCTTGCTGGGAAAAGCCCAGTAATAGTTTGATGTTCCCACTCTTTCAGTGTCAACCATGTTATCATCGACCAGGCTTTGAAGCACCTCCTTCACCGTCATTGGAGCTACAATCAAAAGAGGAAAAATGAAAAAGTCTCTGAATAATCCCCTCCACCAAAGGTTTATGAATAGCTAATTGGTACATTTACTGAAGACCAACAGATCAGCTTGCTTGGTCGAGTTTCATTTAAAGTTTTCATCAAAGAACTAGAAGTATCACATATTCTTCTTGGTTAATAGTATAACGTCCAAAAGGGTCAATTTTCTCCGATATGTTGATCAACATAATAACCTTTCATCCACAGAAATAAATCCACTTTCTATGTGACCTAAATCCAGAAGGTTCTGCTCAGCGCATGTAGACTCGCTGGTAGTAGAGTAGTACTAAATCTGATTGTTTATAATAAAATGTTTGCAAAATAAATAAACAGGAACATAGCTACTTGCAGAAATAAACGTTGACAGTATGATAGGGTTGTTTATTATATTAAAGTTGTTTTCACTTCTGATCACACAACTATTTATTTTATTAACAACAATTATAAAAATCATTTTGCAACATTCCTCTTTACCTTGACCCTTATTTGGTCGTGCTTGCCTAACAACATGCACTCTCAGCCCTTTTTAAGGCTAAACTCATGGCAGAACGAGGGCAAAACACTGTGACATGTTTAAAAAAACATCTCTACAGCAATATTTTTATTAATGTTCCATTGACAAGCATAGATGCTCAAAAAATACATGAAATTATTTTTGTGCACTCTGAGGCCCTGTCCACATGTAGCCGGGGATCTGCCAAAACGTAGATTTTTTTCTACGTTTTGGCCTGTCATCCACACGAAAACGGAGTTTTTTCACACGAAAATGGATCTCTTTAAAAACTCCGGCCAAAGTGAAGATCTGCGTTTTCTCCGTTTTGGGTGTCTGTGTGTGGACAGACAAAACCGGAGTTTTAAGGTCCGCAACGTCACTTTCCGCGACAAAAAAATGCTGACATCACGTGTGCGACCTGTGTTTACACTAGCCGACAGCATGGATGCCCTCAGAGCTGCGCTCGCTTTATCAATTGTCCACACGCTTTTTGCTTGTTTGTTTTTGCAAGCGGAATTACTGCTCCTTGCGGAAGACCACAGGCGAAGGACGAGGTTAAGAACGGGGGAAGTACTGCCGCCTACAGGTCTGGCATGTCCTTAACAACGTATTTATCCGGGTATGTGTGGACAGAGTTTTTTTTAAAAATGAGGTGGTGTGGATGCAAGTTTTTGGAGGGGCGGATATTCGTTTTAAAAAAAAAAACCCGGCTACATGTGGACAGGGCCTCACACATACAAAAATGTTTGATGAATTTATTATCCTAAATTATCTCTTTGTGTCACAGACTGGTAATGTTGTACTTATGTTATATTCTATATTGCATGATTTACTTGTTTTTATTCTAATGTGCATGTTTTTATTGATGTGTTTTTAGTTTGTTTGGTGCAACATTGCGTTCCATTCTGTGTTAATCACCCCAATCATCTACACCTGTGGCAGAGTGTTGCCTGGACTGCCAATTAATGAACAGGCACAGGCAGGAGGCGAGGGCAGACAGGTTTTATTGAAAGGGAGGAACGCGTGGACCAGGGAGAGAGACAGCTAGGACAGCAGAGATGCACCCCGGACGGTGTCTTGAGGACACGTGCCGGGGACCAGTTATTGCCAGAATTTTGTGTGCCCACGGTGGCCGGGCGGAGGAGGAGTAAACCCGCCGTGAAGTTATCCTGTGGCTCCACGAGGACGACGACGCCGGCCTTGGAGGTTCCCTGGTCGAGAGCTCAGCAGGGCCGGACTGGACCGCCTTGTCCCTTGAGGCCCTGCGCACACTTGATTGAACTCTCTTTTTCTCCTTGGCGTCATTATCAGGGTTTTGTAATAAATGTCCCTTTTAAATTTGCTTTGGCTGTCGCACTGCTTGCCTTGTTTTAGAACCTTTTTAGAACCTATTTAATCTCCTTTTAATATTAGTGGCACCATGCACTTCGATCGTGTCACATTTGCATTTAAAAGCAGTCTATTTAAAATGTTAGATTTGTTTAAAGTACATTTTGGTCTCATATTTATACTTAATTAATGAATAAACAGAACAGCTTTGCCACATGACGATATACCAGAATTCTCCTTAAAATGTGAAATCTGGATAGTTTCTCAGGTTTGTACGTCTCAGAATATGTATTTGCAACAAAAACAAAGATGCAAAATACTGAAAAACTTGATTTTTACTAGGTAATGATAATTAAGTATATAAAAATGAAACAGAGTTACTCAATTGATGTCCTTTTTTGTTGAAACTGCTACTCACTGATTCCTTTCGACTTGGGAGCAATCTTCTCGATGTCTTTTAGCTGAAACACATCTTTCTGAAACCAGAGTGAAAGAACAGATTAAAGAAATTGCAGTATTAATGCTTTTAACATTAAGGGACAATGTGTACATTTTACCATTAATCTCTGGCAATATCCATCAACATGTTGTTGAAAATATATTATATGATGCCCAGTTGAAAAATATTGGCAGCTTTGTAACATATAACCATAAAAATCCAAATACACTGGGCTGCAGCTTGTAGCACGGAACCGGGAGTGGGCACAGGGCACAACCATACCAATAAATGGGAATGGAGCAATTTATTTCCGGAACTGAAGGGGGCGCTATAGGGAGCCTAAGTCACGCCCATCTACTTCTGGACCATGGGTCCCCAGAAGAACGAAAAAATGAATGCAAGTCAATGGAGGCTAAAAACGCTATTTTCTAATTCCGCTTGTTTTGTGCCATGGATTTCACATATGACGTCCGTGAATTTTAACCCTTTCCACTGTCTTTTTGGGTGACCCCTCGAGGAAAGTTGACCATTAAGCAGGATTGATGGTTTATCCCTTGAGGTCCACGTGGCAGGGGTGAGGTGGTGCTCACTCCTCACCCCTGCCACGTGGACCTCAAGGGATAAACCATCAATCCTGCTCAATGGTCAACTTTCCTCGAGGGGTCACCCATAAAGACAGTGGAAAGGGTTAAAAAGAAATTTTGATACCAAGAACGCATTTTTTTTAAAACGGGGAAACACTATTTTGGGTTTTGTGTGAAAATAAGTCCAGCACTACAAATGTGCGTCACGAAAGTGACGTCATCGGACGATAGGAGAATGTGTAATTCAGTTTTTGGTTTATGGAAGTTCAGTTTTCTTTGCTGCACTTTATTTTATTTTTGTAAATCAAAATATTAAAGCAATGAAAAAAGTGAAGTTTATTTTATTATAATAATAACAATAACAACAATAATAATAATAATGATAATGTATTTAATTTATAGGCACCTTTCAAAACCCAAGGTCACCTCAAAAAACATGATAAAACCTATACAAAAATAAGAATAAGATAATTTAAACAATTGAATTACAAAGAATATACTATAAATTACAGAGTGGGGAGTTTGTGGACTAGAGAGTGTAAGCCAGTTTGAACAGGTGAGTTTTCAGTTTGGATTTGAACGAGAGGAGGAAGTGAGATCCAGAGCCGAGGAGCAGAGCGACTAAAAGCTCTGTTTCCAACGGTGGTGAGACGAGCAGGAGGAACCCCAAGGTGAACGGCAGAGGAAGACCTGAGGGAGTGAGATAGGACAGCAACATGGATGAGATTGGAGAGGTAAAGAGGGGCGAGACAGTGGATACATTTGTAGGTGAGAAGCAGGATTTGAAGGAGATTCTGTGTTCAGTAGGCAGCGAGTGGAGACGCTGAAGAACAGGGCTGATGTGATCTCTGGAGGGGGTACAAGTGATGATTCGTGCAGCAGCATTTTGGAGAAGTTGGAGCCAATGAAGGGATTTATGGGGGAGACCAAAAAGGAGAGTTACCGTAATCAGTCCTAGAAGTAACTAGGCTGTGTACGAGGATGGCTGTAGCATGAGGAGTGAGAGAGGGGCGGAATCAGTTGACGTTGCGTAAATGAAAGTAGGCTGAGAATGATGTTGATGTGGGCTTTGAATGATAGAGTGCTGTCAAGGATGACGCCAAGACTCTTTACATGGGGGAAGGAAGGATGGAGGAATTATTTATGTTAATTGATATGCTGGGAGACTTGTTCAGAGTGGAGGGTTTCTCTATGAGTAGAATTTCAGTTTTATTGCTGTTGACTTTCAAGAAGCTGGACAGGGAGGCTGGAGGGAAGATTCCATCGGGCTGAGAGGAGATATAGATCTGGGTGTCATCTGCATAGCTGTGGAAATTTATCTTGTATTTGTGAAAGATTTGGCCAAGTTGAAGAATGTAGATGACACAGATATTTTAGATCACAAAGGTGCAGAAGAAATTCAGGTGATGCTTCTTTTGGGTTAATATTCCCCACTTTAGTCCTTTGGATGTACTTTTTAAGATGTTTGTATTTCTTACATGAAGTTCTAGTTTGTTTTTACTGTACATACTCATAACATATATGTAAATACACAAGTTATAGTCAGGGTTAATTTACCATCACTTCAACTTTCGGTTTGAAATAAAGTGATCATTAATGAATCCTTCTACCCCAAGTTTAAATTACCCAAATTTTAATTTTTCTAATACCTTTTCATCAGTAAAGAAATAAAATTGGCCTTCCAGTTCACAAAAGCACTTGAACTGAAATCCCAGCTTTCATATAAAAATGTCCTAAGAAAACCACAAATAAAGCAAATTCATCACATCACTACATCAATAGGGTTGGTGAAACTTACTGATTCAAAGAAAATCTCCATCATACGAGTTCTCTTCTCCTCCAAACTGAGCCCTTTCTTCTTGGACTGTAAAACAAAAACAAATGAACAAAAAAAAAGAGAAAAATTCAGTCTCTCAACCCATTAAAAACCAAATCCTGAATGAAGTACAAACCAATTCCATCTGCTGAACTTCCAGATTAAACTCTGAAACAGAAAAACGTCTGTTCCATTACCAGCTCTAAGTGGGATCATGAGCCAACGGGACATGTCTACGCTGAATACCAGACTACAGACCAATAATCAACCGTAGTTGTTAGCAGCAGCCTGCAAATAGAACGGGGATTTGGATTGTAGGAAGACTTTATGAAGATTTTGAGTAGGGCTGCACATTATATCGTAAATATATCGTTATCGCGATATCAGCGTGTACAATATGTATAACGCAAAGAACAGATAAATATCGCAATGAATGGTCAGCTCAAATGTTTGCTACACATAACGCATTCTGTCAAACGGAAGCATGATGTTTTTTTAACAAGTCAAATAGAGCTCTTCACCCATTTGGCCAAATGGCTGGGTTCTCATAGGTTAGATGCCCACCGCCGAGGTGGACGGCACTTCATTTTGATGGTTAGCAAACACCTGAGTTAGCTTAGCTTTGTTTTTCCCGGGATCCACTGATTTCCTTTTCTTGGTTTTTTTTTTTCCCTGTCCTCACATCTTTAGCTTTTCTCATTTTTATGATTATTTTATTTAATTGTTTTTGATTATTTTTGCTCCTGAGTTAAGCTTTTATTTATCGCAAGTAATATCGTCAACGCAATATTATCATTGTTATCGAATATCACAGGATTTCCTAATATCGTGCAGCCCTAATTTTGAGAATATGTGAACGTTTTATGTCCAAAAGCTATGACGAGTTTTAAATCAGGCACGTGGCTCTATTCCAGCAACATGATTTGTCCAGTGCAGAGCAACACCTAATAGGATAGGCTGTCGATCTGTTTTTTAAATCAAAGCACTATCGACTTGTTCTCATACGTCTATTGAGAAAAAACATTTCGAAATATATTTTTTTGTTGTTCCATCGCCCAGCCTGATGTTACCGACTACTGATGTTATGGTTGCACGCAAATAAGACATGTCTAGATATTGAATATGAAAATCAGCACCACAATAGATCATCGGCTGACCATGACATCTACTTATGGGCATCAGAAAAAAACAATATTGGTCGACCTCTAAAACCTAGCCTCCTCCTCCTTCTACTGTGTTTTATTCTGTATTTAATGTAGCTGAAAACGAAGCAAATATATATATATATATATATATATATATATATATATATATATATATATATATATATATATATATATATATATATATATATGTGTGTGTGTGTGTGCTGCATTCATCAGCACTGTGGAATGTTTAGTACGGCACAATTAGCCATAATGTGCATCTGATTGTAATAATTCTGAAGTGAGAACTGTGCACCCACCACTGTTGTCCTTTGCAGTAGACAGACAGACAGACAGACCTGACTCTGGCTCCAGTAGTGGCAGTATAGGAAGCAACCACAGCAGAAGAAGCAGCAGCAGCTTTCTTAAATATCCATTTGAAATTCATGACCTTCATAATGAGTGTATTTAATTCAAATTCAAAAAAACTTTAATCATCCCCGAGGGGCAATTGTTAGATTTAGTTAGATTGATTTAGTTAAATACTCCTAGTGTGAACCCCTCAAACAGCAAAGTGAACCATTCATTCAGTCACCAAACCGCAGTATCAGACGTCTTGGAACTAATTTGTATCGTTACCCTCTCCTCTGTCAAGCGTGTAGACTGAAACAAAGCCAGACTCCATTATTCTTCTAGTCTGACGAATCTAGCTTCGGAGAGTAACTTCCAGACGTGATGACGACACTAACAAATCAAGACATGCTTACCATTTTGTGATGCGGCCTGTATCAGTAACACCCCAAAACGTCGAGGCAGTTTAACAAAAGTGTAACCTAAACGACAAAACGTCCAGTTCCTTCTGAATTTCCCGCGAAAGACTCTCAGGGATCAATGCTGCTTTCAAGTTGCCTCGAAAAAGACAAACTCTTCCAGTAACAGTCACGTGTTAGAATGAAAGGATCCGTAGCAACATGTTGTTAAAATATATGGGCTGGGAATAAAACTAAACAGATTAATATTACGGAATTCCCGCTAAAATATTTTAATATGCTAACAATACTATTGGAACAATTCGTTTTTTTCCCCCAAACGGTTCGTGAAGGCATCGTTGCTTTACTGCAGATCTGCGGCAAAGTAGCGTCCTCTTCTGAGCAATAATATAAATGCACAAACACTAGATTATCCATTTAGCAGAGGTGTGACCAAGTCACTGCTTTGCAAGTCACAAGTCTTTCCAGTCAAGTCTCGAGGCAAGTCCAAGTCGAGTCCAAAGTCAATGATATGGAAGTCCAAGTCAAGTCCAAGTCCTTACCTTTGAATTTTCAAGTCATAATCAAGTCATCTGTCAAACTTCCGTTTAATGACAATGATAATAAATCAATTCCAGAAATACAGTTTCTTAAAGCTTCATTTATTTGCTCAAACAAGCAGAAAGTGCAACTGAAACCGATTATAATCAAAGTGCTGCTGCATTTAGCAGTACAAGATCACACCCAGAACCAAGAATCATTTATGATTTTTGTCCATGTCGTGCCACTTTTGTGCTAAAATATCAAATTTGCTCAAGTCATCATCAAGTCAACAGATGCAAGTCAATTCAAGTCGCAAGTCATTGGCGTTAAAGTCCGAGTCAAGTCGTAAGTCTTTATAGATTTTGTCAAGTCATAAGTCATTAAAATAATTACTCAAGTCTGACTCGAGTCCAAGTCATGTGACTCGAGTCCACACCTCTGCCATTTAGCGTTCTCAACATTAAAGCAAACACATTTCTTTTTCTTGGGCACTTTGATTTTATTTGGCATAAAGAATATGAACATAACAAGAAAATAAAAGGATTGTAAAGGAATCGGATGGCCAAGTGTAAGATGACAATTGTTACAGCAAAAGCTTCAAGTGTTCATCTACATGGCGCAGCTTCTCGTGTTAGACCGTTTTGATCAAAAAAATTCTTGGTGTAGCTTTATTCAAAAGCATGTCATATAATAATAAAACAAAACATCATAAAAGCACATTATAAATGAGTGGGAAGATCCCAGTTCAGCAGCTTTCTTTCATCAGGTTGTTATTAAAATCATTAGCAGGTCTATTACAAACCCAGAACATGCATACAGAGCAGAAGTCACTGTTGGGTGGCTTGTGTTTGGTGTTTATAGTGATCACAGCACAAACACATTTGAGTCAATTAAAAAAATACATTTTAAGGATCCATTTATATTACTGTGTGATAACTGAATTACCCCTGCTTCTAAAATTGAACCAAGTCCCTGTCTTTTATTTATTGTGCATGATATTCTTAGAAGATGACAGTAAAATCAGCATGCAGACATGTCAAATCGTGCTTTTAACGATCCCACTCCCTGTAGTGCAGCAGGTGATCTTATAGTGAGCAGGCAAACTGTGAAGAGTTTTAACTGGAAGCTGCAGTACTGCAGTTTTTAACGTCCACTACTTCTCAGAGAACTAAAACACATTTTATTTCAAAATCCAGTCATTTTATAAGCAAGTGCATCAGCATTCATCCCACGTGTCTATTATATGTATGCTAATAAAGCTTCATTTTTCAAATTAGCACACCTCAGAATGTGAGCAAGGTTAGGAGTGACTCTTAAAAAGCACCAACCAGAACCAGCAGCAGGCTTCTGTGAACATCAGAGATTCTTGTTTCACTTGGACAAAAATATCCCAACTTTCCTCAGCAGCAAGAGTCAAACACAAGGAGGAAAGTCACACTGATGGCACAATGGCAGGAATGAAAGGGTGAGGAGGATGAGAGGAAAATGATCGTTTCTCAGGACTGCTGTGTGTGAGTAATGAGTATGGTCTCTGTTTACATGAGAAAACATGGACTACTGCAGGTAGCGGTAGACTTTGAAGCAGTGGTTGCCTGAATCGGCGACCACAACGTGACCGTCTGAGGTTAGCGCCAGTCCTTGTGGGCCGTAGAGCGGGTCCACTGAAGTGTCGATGTACGACAGGAAGGAGCCACTGCCATCAAACACCTGAATGACAGAAATCAGATCAGATAGTTTTGTTGTTTTTTTTTCAGTGTTTGATACAAAAATTCCTTTTTCCAACCTGTGATTGGCTACAAGTCTGGATAAAGGATACTTTATTTAAATCCACACAATCATAATTCTGCTCAACAACTGGTGAAATCAAAAGTTTCAGGCAGTGTAAAGGCTTGAAAAAAGTGTTAGCCAGTTCTGCTCTGACATTTACCAGACCATTGCATCAAGACAGCAGCAACCATCTTAGTCTTGGTTCCACTTTGACGAGCCATTAGCTCATCAAAAACTAACTGTTTCTCTAAACTGCGTTTTTTAATAAAGTTTTCTACAACAAGTTATTAGTTTTGTTCTAAGCTCTCCACAGAACCCTACACTTGATGTTGGGTCCACATGGTGCTGAGGCAAGTTGTGAGCAATACTAGAAATCAGACTGCTGACTACAGCGTAGGAAATAGTCCCTATTCACTCGTCTTTCCTTCTAATACTTCAGGGTACGGCCTTTGAAGTTCTCTAACCTGTATCCTGCTGTTGCCCCAGTCTGCTACGATGATGTTTCCATAAGCGTCCACTGCCACTCCCGTGGGGGCGTTGAACTGGCCGTTTCCCTCGCCGTTTGAACCGAACTTCAGCAGGAATTCTCCTTCTGTGTTGAACACCTACATTTTGGGTTTTATAGAGATAACAGAAACAAGAACGAGCCTAAGGATGCTTAAACTTTTTACAAATGAGTGGTTGTACTGTGTGAGCATGTGCATCACCCAAGGAGACATATTACACCTTTTTCTCTTTTTTATGGTTTATAAAAACATGCTTATGAAATTCTTTGCACTAAATCCCTCTTACATAAAGCAGTCTCAGCAGTTTTATTCTCGACAGTTTCAGTACCGTCTAGAATGAGTCGTTTCAGGGCTCTGTCACTTTAAGAAAACAAGCTGTAGCTGGACACGCCCACCGAACCCCAACCCAGGCTGCTACAAGCTGACAAGCTCTGACATTCACAAGGGGCTCAAAGCAGAGCTGCTCCTGCTCCAGTTTCAGCTCTCATGCATGCGGCAGGCGGTTCCTTTCTTCTTTGCCGTTTTGTGATGTCATAGTAGGGGACTTTTTGAAACGACTTATTTTAGAGGCATTGATCCTAAAGCCAAACACTAACAGAAAAAAGATGGGTGGGTTTTTGTTATGTTTGGAACATTTATAGAGATGGTAGAAACCCACATGGCAGCAGAAAAAGATGCTAAAGGTGAATCATATTAAGAAACAGAATTTAAAGATGTAATAACGACTACTTATCCACGTTAATTTAAAAAATAATTATATATATATATATATATATATATATATATATATATATATATATATATATATATATATATATATATATATATATATATATATATATACACACACACACACAAACACGGGAATGGAACCATTTAAATCCATGGCTCAATATAAAGTTTCAAAGTTACTTCTTATTCTTTTAGGATAATTTTACAGTAAAGTGAAAATAGACTCTACAACAAACATGATGTATTAGGCTCACCTTGACTGAGTGGTTGTGGAAGTCCGTAATGATGATTTCATTGTTGTTGTTAATAGCAGCAAAATGAGGACCTGGACCAACAGGGAGAAAACAGAAAAAGCTTCAGACATACAGTACATATAATTCTTAATAAATAAGTATGGGAGACGTTTGTAAAACAAAAGGAATCGTGCATTCTGAACAGTTCCAGTTCTGTCACCCAGTCCTCTCTTGTTTAAAACTCAGCTGTAAGCCGTTTGGTTGACTAAATCTTGAAATGCGCAATAATTTCAGAGAGTACCTGCAAACTGCGTATCACTGTTGCCACGGCTACCGAACTTGGTGACCAGCTTTCCGTTGGCTTGGAAGATGAAAATGCGACAGGCCCTGTTGTCAACAACAATGATGTGACCGTTTTTGTCCACCGCCACACCCTTAGGACCCATCAACTTTCCTGAGCCGATTTTATTCTGCAGAGATCAGATTTTACATTTCTGTTAGAGGTCAACACTGTTATTGCCATCAAATACAACAGATTTCAGATTGTAATGCATTTTATTAACCTCCCAGTGTAAACTCTTCAAACTTTAAATCATGACTATTTGCATTTTCTGATAAATAACAACTACACAAAAGAAAATAATCGGATATTTTAAACAATACAAACCCTCCTTTTTAAATATGTATTCAATGTCAAACCAAGTGTCTCAAAATGTGACTGTTCAATTAAATCCTAGGTTTCTCCCAGCTTTTCCTGGTTTGGGTGTGTGTGTTAATGTTAGTTTTGACATAATAATGATGAAAGTTAATATATGTTTCAGTTAATTGAATAGATTTTGTTATTTCATAACAAGAGACTTGAAATAATTCCCCTGCACTGTATTTATACATTATTTTTCCTATTTTTTAAACAGCTATGTGCAAACAAAAAACAGTTGAAATAAGGGAATGAACTGTATTCTTTCAAGAAAAATTTAAACAGGATTTGCATTAATTTTTCATACTTTTACTTATTTGTAAAATGAGCTTTACCTGGTTTATAAGGTTCAGGTCAAACAGACAAGAACAAACTGAGTGGATGGTTTACAAAAGGAAAAATAAATGACTTAGTGCTGCATTTTAAGACATGACCTGTAATATGTATTTAGGACAAGGTTTGTATTTTGACCCAGCACTGTAAAAAAAACTAATCCGAGACATGGACGGCAGATCCGGCTCTGTCAGCATGTTAGCTGTTACTTTATCTCTATTTAAATCTAACTTACTGGGATGTATTGTAATACACCCCACCCACCAATGTTTCAGCTTACCTTAAACTTTCCTTCACTTGAAAAGATGCTGACCCACTTGTTATCATAGTCTGCGATGATCATGTCCCCATTGGAGTGGACAGCCACACCCGTTGGTCGCTGCATCTGACCAGGAGATCTGCCTCGGACCCCAAAACGACTTTTGAACTGGCCGTTGTTAGAAAATATCTGTGGAGTGAAAAAAACATTGTTGCATGTAATTTTTCATGAATTAAAAATGTCCTAGAAAAATGTTTCTTTTTTCTAATTGGAAACTGTTTTTTGAGCCTCTACATAACAAATGAAACATTGTTGGGGCTCACAATGGTCCAGGAGCCCTGATAAATGGTCAAACCCAACCCCATAATAAAGCCCACCTGGCCAGGACATGAATAATAAATGACCTAGATTGCTCAATGTTGGTCTGAAGCTAGTAACTTTCTGTTCTGTGTGTGTGTGTTGGGGGATCGTAAAGGAGGAAGTGGGTGTCGGACCGGCCAATGTCCACAGTTGGGTGCAGGAGTGTGGACGAACAAGGAACTACTCGAATGTCTGGCTAAGCGACTGTTATAGAGCGGGGGTTTATGGAGCAATGAGAACAAGGACAGCAAGCTGTGGATCTTTCTGGAATTCATTCATAGCCTCGATATTCCCAGTACACCCAGGAACGTGAGTGGTCCTCCAACACCCTTCTTTGTCGTTTTCCTCTTGTCCAACAAGGAAGTCAGCACTAGCTCAACATCACGGTTAGCATTACCGCGATCGATGTTTATAAATTACCGACTTTGAAGAGGGTTGGGACATTTAAATTTAAGGAGGTGTGTATAAGCGTAAAATGGTTAAACCAGCTTTTCCCAGAACGAACCGTTTCTCCGTGGCCTTTACAACATTACTGATAGGAAAGAAACATCAGAGAATCTATGGTATGCTACATTAGACACTCCAAACCACTTTTAAACAAGGTATATGTGGTTTTTATTTCTAGGACCATTTAGGAATAAGCATACATTAAAGTCTCATGAGTTGACCTGAGTCACTAGAGACAACCAAGAACTTCTACCTGCACACACTGGTTGTTGCTGTCTGCTATCAGAACCTTTCCCAGAGACGAGGCAGCCACTCCTTGTAGGTTTGTGAACTCTCCTTTGTTTCTTCCTTTCGAGCCTTTAAGACAAATAGAGGTCTATCGGTTAGACTGAGCCATGAACATGTTGTCGAGCTGCTAGCAGAGCAGATCATTAAAACTCACCAACTCTGAAGATGAGATCGTCCTCAATAGGATTCTCTTTCCTTCTTCCTGTGCTGTACATACTCGCTGGCCTTTTGATGGCTTTCTGCTTGATGTGCCCGCTGCCAGGAGACTGCAGCCTCTTCTTTGTGCTGTCCGAAAAGGGTGATGAATCTGTGGGTTTGGTGGCTTTTATTTTGAAGGGACTCCCTTTGATGTGCTGGTTGTATAAGCGCAGTGACAGATTAAATGTTCCCTCCTCAGAAACAGTGAACAGAAACTCAAAAGTTCCATTCTCATTGTCCACAATCTCCCCGTCCCCTTTGCTGCCATCAGAGGAGGAGATCTCAGCAGTGATGATGGCGTTACCCATTTTACAAAGCCCTCCGTCTTTGTCTTTGGTGGTTATGGTGACGGAGGTAGGCACCCCCACCACACAGTGGCGTAGCCCTTCACCCGTGGCCACAGTCTCAAATGCCACAGCGTTAGTGGTGGTGACAGAACCCAAGTTGTGGATGGATTTCTTTAAACCGTCTGTCTCCACGCGGAAGTCCAGCTGGTCATTCTCTCCAGGCTGCAGAGGTAGCTCCTGATTGGCCAGCTCTATGAGGCGCTCGCCCATCTGCTTCTTCACCAGCAGCACCTCAGCATCGGTGCCGTGGCTCAGGGCCTGCTCAGTAAAGTTGCAGCTGCTGTTGATGCCCTCCTGACCCTGCAGCAGGGCATCGAGCTGGGCCTGAAGCACCTGTGTGTGAACACCAGGGGGCAGCAGAGAAACACTCAGCTCTTCAAACAGCAGTCACTTTTGAAAGGTAAACAGGTGCATTTCAGCTTTAGCGACAACAGATATGTGATCATGCTCCATCATCCACAGCTCCAGTAATGTAATACATATAATTGTTTTATGATGGGGGGGAACTCGTTTTCTTATTTTATCTCTAAAGAACTTAGAATATAAAACAAGAAACCATCTATGTTGAGATTTGTTGCAGACCAGTTGTGATGACTCAAACTAATGCTAGTGTTTTCAGCTTTTTTCCCATCTCAGGAATCGTTTTAGTTTCAGTTTTCCTGCTTTCACCTGCCAACAACAGTGTAAACATATCATTGACCTAAGCTGATAAAAGCTGGAGTATCTCCATCTTGTATTCTCTGCAGCAACCTGCACGCCACACGATAAAAAAACGCCTCATAATTAACATTAATAAATTATTTAATTTTTATGTGAATGCAGATTAAATGCATTTAAAAGATAAAAAAATGCACTTCTGTGCTTTTTCTATTCTAAAGCAGATTGTCAGTCCTCCCGGAGGTAACATTTGCAGAAAACTTCAGGACTTATGAGACAGAATTAATAGTTTACCCTTGTTTTTACGATCTCTTCAAACAAACAGACTCACCAGCATCTGATCCTCACAATCATCCTTTTTTCCAAAATTAGAAGCCATTAGCCTTTTCAATCCCAAAACAAAGGGAAGCACCTCATCCACTCTCCTTCAGCTGTCGCTCATGGAGCTTAGAAACCACGATCCTCTCTGTGCTCACAGCAGGAGCAGAGATCAAAGGAAAAGAGTCTAATCATCTGCTGCTCAAGACACACCCAAAAACAACCCAGAAGTTCATATGGGACAGCCCTCTGGCTCTATCTAGCTACAGGAACAAGTCACAAACCTGACTTTCCCCCAGGCTTTAAGAGTGCTGACCAGTCAGTGACTTGTAAATCATTAAACACCCATGTGATACCCTCCCTGGAGAGAACTGCAGCACGCTCTGATGCCAGCCACGTGATGGGAGGTTTGGTTGGAGAGGAGGGGCCTGTCTCTTTTGACTGACTGACCAGCTGAGGCCAAGAAAAACAGCAAAACCGTCTCAAATAGCAACGAACTCCAGTCCAGACTCAGCTGTCCGTTTCTTCTTCCTTACCTTCTGCTTGAGCCCGTAGCTGACCTCCAGCTCCATGAGTAAAACACTCTTGCGGACATTGAGCGTCTTCTGCAGCTCATCAAAGGTGCTGTGGATGTAATCCTCAACAGAGCTCTTCCGATTGGTCAGCTGCTGCAGAATCTCTGACAGCATCTGCAGGGCCGAGTCGATCTCTGGCAGCCTGGAGGAGAAGCGAAGGCTGTGTGATAAGTCAACACACATCAAGACAAAAAGGCTGTACCTCTTCTTGACGGCATTAAGCTGCTCCTTTAAGGAGGCCTTGTGTTGCTCCACCACATCTTTAAGAGGCACAGTCGGATGCTCTCCATGCTCACCACTGGTGCACTCCTGACACATGGCCGTCTCACACGGAGGACAGTAAAACTCCATCACCTGCAACATTCAATCTGTTTATTTAACTCAGTTAGTTCATTAAAAAACAAGAGAAAACAAAGTCTTACACTGCCTCCATGGTTGGGGCAGGAGAGCAGTCGGCCGGTTGCCACAGTAGTGATGTTGTTGAGCGCGATGGCCTCCTGGCTACAGCTACCCGGCGCTCGCTGCAGCACATCCATCAGGTTGGTGATGAAGAAGTTGTTCTGTAATGCCACCACACCTTTCTCCGGGAGGATGGAGGTCTGACGGCACACTGGGCAGGACAGGGTGAGGCTGTGAGCCGGGATGTAGTTCTGCAGGCACCTGGAAGGGGAGTGGGTCGGATGTAAAACCTACAACCATTTATTTTTGTTAGAACAAACACTAAACCTCCAAACTAGTAGTTATGGTGCCTTTAAATTTCAACGTTACCTATACTTCTCTAGGAATAAATGCCTTGTAAGCTGTACTGGGGGTGGGGGGTGGGTTGTAAAGCTCCGGTGCACTTGTTTGACGATGTAGAAGTCAGCCGGAGGAGAACGTGGCAGAAAACTGCAGGATTGACTCTTTACTTCCTGATATTCAGACTTCTTGCCTCTGATTGGCTAACAGCAACAAGATTCTACCACTGACTGTTTGTTTGCAACATCGATGTTTTACCTCCACAAATAACACAAGCCTTGAGGAGTTCTGCGGTGTGGTGGAGTTTCTACTAGCCCTGACGTGCTCTGCTGTTTCTTGGACACTAATCCAACTACAGCTTTCTCTGTTGCACGTAAAGATGGTTGAGTCCACGAATGCTACGGGACAGCGTGACGTAGATCTGTCAGGCTTTTCTGAACCGAGCGTGCTCCGTCTTTGTTCTTTCAGAAGCTATTGCAGGAAATAGGGGTAGAAGACTATTTTTACATTTTCAAAAGTAATAAATAAAAACGGTTTCTACGTGAATCTGCTCTTTAAATAATGCAAAGTAATAATGGCTCCTCAGGATTCTTACCACTGATATATACACTTTACAGATGTTCCATCCTAAATATTAGATAACCTTGATGTTTTCTCATTTAAAAGACGTTTAATGTTTTCAAAGACAACAAAAGAAAACTGTTTTCTCCCCTTCCCAGCCTAATTAATGTTCATGTGTATCCATGTTTGGGTGGTTTTGTTCTTTAATAGGTTTTTGAGGTCATCAAAGAAAAAACATTGTGGGAAATTTTCATGACTGAAAACTGACCACATTTCAACCGTTGTAAAAGTTAATGCAGTTTTGCATTTAGTTTTTATTGTTGGCTCACGCTTGTGTTGGAGGTCTTTCTGCAGAAACAGAAGCCCTGAACAGATGTCGTGAAATATTTTAGAAGGTTTTATTGTAATTATAAAAAAGCACAGCTGGATCAGAGAGATGGAGTTTAGAGTGACAACGTGACTCTCGAGAATCAACCAGAGCAGAGGCCGGTCATTCACACACACCGTGTCTGTTGTGTCAGAAACAAAAGGTTGGTGACAGAATGGACCGCTCTCAGGATGACACCACCACTCTCACATTTACCAAAACAATCCAACACAGATTTAAACATCAAAAGCCGCTCTGATCCAAATCTCTGTCCTCGTCTCACACGCCAACTAACTCACCTCTCACAGAAGGTGTGCAGGCAGGGCAGCACTTTAGGGTTCTCGTAGCGGTCCAGGCATATGCTGCAGATCAGGAACTGCTTGTCAATTTGGCAAACGACGGGACTGGGAATAGTGGAGCCTTCGCTGGCCATCCTAAAACCCTCTTCCTCTTAGCCCTGCAAAGAGATACACATCAGAGAGAGAGAGAGAGAGAGAGAGAGAGAGAGAGAGAGAGAGAGAGAGAGAGAGAGAGAGAGAGAGAGAGAGAGAGACACACACAGAGAGAGAGAGAGAGAGACACAGAGAGAGAGAGAGAGACAGAGAGAGAGACACAGAGAGAGAGAGAGGCTGATTCAACACGTGCACTGGTGATGACATCACTAGAGGGAGTTGGTGATGAAGATCAAAGTTTTAGGCTGGAGATGAAATGAACTCATTAGCTGAGAGAAATCATAAAACTCTGAGATGATCAGAACGCTGAAAGCTTATTGAGGAGATGTCTGACAACACGCCCAACCTCATCCAGAACAGAACCCTGCTTTCTACAAGCACCAGACTTTGTTTGATTACACATTTAACAACAACCACAAAACATAAAACATCATTCTTGGCCAAGTAAACAGATCAAGTATCCCCCCTTTGATTTAATCAGATGACATTTGACCATTTTTTATTGGTCTCCAGTAATGCCCATGCAAGCTAAGACAGCTGCCAAACAGGAGGATGCAGCAGCAGCTGCTGCAATCAACAACCATCTCTGTGTTACCATTTATTTAATTAAAGCCTGTCTGAATATTAAGCCGTGACGACGCATCGGCACGCAATAGTCTGATTCTCGTCCCCCTGAAAGGATCCAGACCCCACGAGCCGTGATTCAGGTTTCCCTTTAAAAGCTGATGAATAATTGAGTGTGCAGAGCTAAACCTGCCAAAATAAAAGCCCATAAAACAGCTCAGCCTCCATGTTCATTCTGAAATAAATCAGTCTGAAAAATCTCCCCTTCTTTAGATTTCAGAGTAATTTTCTCGTAATTTAATCTGGCAGCTGAGCTGACGTAGTCGCAGAAAGTGTGTCGGTGCTTTTATTGTGTCCTCACATTGAGGAAGGGAACAAAAACAGGCCACCGCTGAAAGGAAACCCTGAGGGAGGATCTTTTATATTACAGAGTACGTCCTCTTTCTCTTCTTCTTCACTCAGTTTTGTCTTCATCTCACACTCTGAGTCACATCTCTGCTCTGGATCAGAAAGCGATGAGGGGAGACTGCTGTTACTGTCTGATGATGTCAGAGCCAAAGTTCTGACAAGTCGAGTTTGAATCAAAATAGTAAATTCATGCACAAACCAAAACACAGGCGGCCTTTTTGGTAACTCGCCAGCGTTCCAGAGCAGCTCACGCAGATGACCTGAGAGTCAAACGCAGCACTGATCAGCAAACAAATGAAACCTTACATCCTGCCACCAGTCGCTCACAACAACACACCAGCTGCTGCGCTGACGGTGCAGCCGACGCTCAGAGCTCCACTCGTACACAAACACATCTGCATCAGGAAGGCAGAATAATTCCTGCTGGAGGGAGTCGTCACCCAATGAGGAAAGGGAGGAACGCACTATTCCTGTAAAAGAACACTTGAGCCTAAAACGAGGGAAAAAGTGTTAGACAACTTACACTGCCTCGTTTAGATCAGCAGGAATCAGAGACAGGCTCCAGATCGGTTCATAGAAACTTCATCTTTAAAAAAGCCAGAGAGAGAACTCTCCTTCATCCAAGCGTTTGTGAATGTGTGCACACGTGAGCAAAGTCGAGAGAGGTCTCTGGAGCCAGACTGTTTCATCATCATCTCCCCTCCCTCTCTGGTTTCCTCTTCTTCACTTCCTCTCCTCCCTCCCATCACTTCCCAGCTTATTCGGTCTCATCCGTTGATATTCCACCTCTCCTGCCTGCCTGCATTAAACTCAGCGAGTAGCATCAGGATCAACATTGGACAGGAAAAAAGCAAAGAGGATGGAAGTGCATCAAGGGTTTTCCTCGAGACGCAGGGATCCTTCTGCACAAGATGCAGGCTCCTGACTCACCACTCAGGCACTGACGTAACAGAAAAAAGCACCACAAGCAGAGTCTGAATCAAAGAAAGAAGTAGGTTTAAAAAAAAAAGACAAATGCAGGCGATTGTCCTCAGAAGATGAAACCTGAAGAGAAACAAATAGCCCCTTTCAGGGAAAAGAGGTCACCTAAAAATCACAATCACAGCAGCATCTCAGAAGGTTAAGCAGGATGCCCAGTAATCGGAAGGTTGCAGGTTTGATCCTGGCTCCGACCACAGAATGCTGCTGTTGTGTCCTTGGGCAAGACACTTAACCCCCTTGCCTGCTGGTGGTGGTCAGAGGGACCGGTGGCGCCTATGATCGGCAGCCTCGCCTCTGTCAATGCGCCCCAGGGCAGCTGTGGCTACATCGTAGCTCACCCCCACCAACGTGTGAATGGGTTGTAGAACCCCAAGAAGGCGCTATATAAATACAGGACATTTACCATTTTAAATATATACCTCAACCTGCTTTGATGTTGCTCATGGGGCTGGCACGCTGCCAAAGCCAGAGCTGGACTAAATTCATTTAAAAGGAGTTTACCCGCACAGTTTCTGCTGGTTTTAGGGTACGTAGTAAAAATCTGTACCAAGACTAAATGAGGTGGCTGGCATTTAGACATGCAACAAAGTACACACGGAGTTAGTGTCCTTATGAGGATTAGGATAATTTTTCTACAAAAAATGTCCCAGTGTTCGGATCATCGGCACATTTTGAGTGAAAATAAGAAATAATTTTATTTAAATAACACAAGCAGTAAAAAAAACCTGAAAAATATCAATTTGAGGTAAATTTAAGATCAGCCTAAGTAAAAAAAATATTCTTGTCATAAAGACACAGATAAAAAGTAGAACTGTTGTTAAAGAATATGTGAGAAACATGAATTTAAGACACGATTCATCACAAATAGGCTTTTGTTGGACAGGAAGTGCTGCAGCTCTCCTGGTTTGACATTTTCCGTGCTTCATTTTGCCTGGAAGCTCCACAGCTGCTGAATGATCTCATCTCATGTGCAGCCAAACACAGAAGGCTCAGTCAGACAAAAATGTATAACTTCAGAAGTCCACCATCTTAATTTTTAGTATTTATTTGAACCAGGGGTATCCAGCCCTAATCCTTGGGGGCCTTTATCCTGCACGCCTGCTCCAAAACACCTGATTGGATGGTTTAATCGCCTGTTTGGTGCATCCTCATGTTCTACAGAGGCCTGTTATTGACCAATGAATTAAAACAGGTGTGTTGGAGAAGCAACATCAAACACATGCAGGAGAGGGTCCCTCAAGAACCACAAAGTCCTGTAGAACAGAAGCAATGATGAAACCTCTTACAGGAGGCTCGTTTGGTTTAGATTAGGGATAATGTCAAAGTTAACAGATAACAGTGCGGTTGCCTGAAAGTGGCTTCCCTGTAATTTGTCATTTCTGTTCACCAAATATTCAGTTTTGTGATCATTTCTATTAATATATGTTATTTTTTATCTACCTCAGTCTTTTCCTATTGAAAGCAGAGAAGAAAATAAAACCTGTATTCCAATTCATTGCACTTTTTGGTGTGGTAGAAGTATCGGCGAGTACTCAGTGGTAAAATAAAAAGGTTTAATGAGAAGCTATGTTGAACTGGGAACTTTTAAAAAGCATTAGCCCTTAAACATTCCAATCTTCTCAGTAAGTTTGCAAAGACATGTCTAAAACTACATCCTAGAGGCTCTTTTATGCAATGTCAGAAATGCAGAACTGTCTAGTACACATGAATGACCAATCACACATCAGCAAGTATCAACAGAGCCAATAGATGAGCTTATAGAAGGTTCTAACAGGAAACAGGCTTCAGCACAAGCAGTTGTTTTCTGCTTGGTCCTAGTGCTCGACCTGTGTCTATTTAATATAGCAGAATATTGTTTTTGGATTTTCCATTCCATTTATTTGATAAAGCACATTTAAAAAAAGCATGTGAGCTGACCACAGTGCTGTACAGGGGTAAACACATATAAGGTTAAAAGAATAATATAAAAGAACAAAAAAGCTAGAGCTTAGCACAAAGAACCAAACAAGAGAAGTCAGTAAAATCAGTAAAAGAACAGTGTGAATAAACCTAGATAAAATAGCTAGGCAGTAAAAGCAAGGGAATAAAAGTAAGTCTTTAAGTGAGACTTAAAACCCCAGTGAGGGGGAGATGATAAAAAGTGCAGGGGACAAAAATTGACTTTAGAAAAAGTGGAGGGGACATATCCCCCTGTCCCCCCAAAAGTACGTCCATGCAGATGATTGTGCATAAAAGTTTCAATTCAGTTTAGTTAGATAGCATCAATTCAAAACTAAAATCTTTAAGACCCTTTACAAAGCTAAGTCATTCTGATTGGACCCACCTGTCAGTGCACTGAGTTCAGTTTCTTAGGTCATTTAGTTAAAAGTTCCCTTCATATGAAAACACAGCAGATTGCATCGAGTCACTGACTTGTTGTGTCAATGTCTTTGCAGCAATCCTCATGCTAAGCAAGCATGTAGCGACAGTGGAGAGGAAAACTCTCCTTTTACAGGAACAGACCAACAGAATCTGGATCCTTTTTTTCTGGTTCTTCATTATCCACAGAGTAAACAGAGCTTGTTTTTACCTTTTGCTGACATGTTTCGCTTCCACTTCATCAGAGCTTCGCCGATGTTGGTGGCGTCACTGACATCTCCGTTTATCTGCGGGCAACAGAGGATGATATCGCCCTCTCCTGCCCGTGCCTTCTCTGTTGATCACAATATCCCATGAGTGGCCCAGTGTAAATAGTCCTTTGTGCCCGCAGATAAACGGAGATGTCAGTGACGCCACCAACATCGGCGAAGCTCTGATGAAGTGGAAGCCGAAATATGTCAGCAAAAAGGTAAAAACAAGCTGTTTACTCTGTGGATAATGAAGAATCAGAAAATACGGAATCAGATAAACACAGAACGAATGTGATGAAGAAGAACCTGGATTAGAAGCAGCCGTCCGCCATGACTCACCAGGGTTTGAGAAGACAGCACGCACGCACGCACGCACGCACGCACGCACGCACGCACACACACACACACACACACACACACACACACACACACACACACACACACACACACACACACACACACACACACACACACACACACACACACACACACACACACACACACACACACACGCACACGCACGCACGCACACGCGCACGCGCACGCGCGCACACACACACACACACACACACACACACACACACACACACACACACACACACACACACACACACACACACACACACACACACACACACACACACACACACACACACACACACACACACTCTAGGTAAAAAGGTGTGTGTGTAACAGGAGAGCGTGTTGGTTGGGAGCAGTGTGCCACCCTCCAGGAGGGTATCATAGCTGAGTAGAAGGTCTCGCCTGGTTTAGCTTCACTGGAGATAAAATGTTTTTTATCTGGTTTCTCTTCAAGTGTAGTATTTAAGATTCATTAAAATATATGTTTTTGTTTTCATCTTCGTGGCATATCAGCTGTTTATTATTTTCCTCCATTTCTGAGCACTTAAGACTCTCCGAAGGGCAAACTAGGAGAAAACTAGAGGCTGTTTTAACATCCTGGGTGTATAAATAATTTTCTATCCAATAGTTTACAGCTAATTGGTAAAATAAACTTCATGTTTACATTTATTTGTACAGATTTATGGAAAATAAAGTAAAACTGGATGCTATTTAAAAAAACTCCTGTGTGTTTCAGTTTGGGTTTTTAAGGGGCAAAAGGAGAAATCTGCAGCCTGTCAGTGGAAATCCAACTGGCTCCGGTCATGAAGTGGAAGTAGAGCTAAAATAGCAGACTAGCTGTTATCTCTAATGTTCTGTATGGTTGTTTTTCTGGCTCTTTACCTAAAACCACAACTGTGAACTCAAAATCCACAACATGAACAAGTCTGCACATAAAAAAAATCATTTATCCTGCAAGTTATTTAACAAAAGAGAATCTTTATTCATTTACACATATTTCCTTTTTCACCTCCACATTAGAAATGCACACCATGATGACGTAAAGGAAGAACGGTGAGAAACACCTCAATGTGACGCTTCAGTGAAATCGGAGGCTTTTGGGTGACATTACAGCTACAGACGGGAACAAAAGCCGGGAGTTATAAGTAGTCTCACGCTAATCTTGAATACCCAGTGGTGACAGGATGATGAGAGATAACAGGAAGAACACGCCTTCAGCCTCAACATCCCTTCATCCAACACCATCCATCAAACATGACCCCCAAGAGGAGAACTAACTCGGAGGAAGTTCAACCTTCAGCGAGGCTCTGAAGTTTCCATTTGAGGAGATTCTAGGTAGTTTTTATGCTTTTGTCTCACTACTGGACACCACTATTCTCATGTGTTCATTACAATCATATTCCTGTGGTTTTTTTTAGAAGAAGCACACACAAGGAGTGGAAAAACACCGAAGGCCAGTGTCTGCGTCCGTCATCTGCCAACCCTGCACTCTGGAGGCACCAGATAAGACAATGCTCTGCTGATGAGTGTGTCTGCATGTTAACTGCTGAACTCTTAATTAAATCCTGCAGTTGTACAACTGTCAGGCTGCTGGAAAACGTCCATGCTGCACATCTGCCAACCTGAATCCAGTGAGGCTGTATCTCCGAGGTTCAACGTCCACATGGAGTCGCCGTGAATCAGTGACAGCAAAGAAAACAGGACCTTGGTTTTCTTTTGAAGGTGAACAGTGGAGTAAAGACTTGTTTTGTTTCCCTCCCTCCCACCCAGGATTTAAAAACACATCTCGGCACACACGACTAGACTTGTAGTAATACTCACTTATTTAGAAAGGGTGGAGCTTATTTAGCGGCCTGATGATAATCTCTTGGAGCTCAGATGCTCTGTAAACCTGCAACTTTTCATTACAAATGAGCAGAAAGCCATGAGCATCACTGACAGGCACAGGAAACAATAAGAAAAGCTGAGAGTAAATAACCTGAGTGTCACTAGATTTGCTCCTGGGACATCATAACCTGTAGTTGAAACTTGTTTTTCAATTATTAACTCAGAAGCCTTTCTAGGAAACTAGAAGCATCTCTTCCTCAAACAACAGCCAAAGAAAGTCATTTTTAGCTCCCCCACCCCTAAGCTACTTCATCCAACCCTTCTCCTCGCCTTAAAACACCACACATCCAACTTACTTGACCTCCATGGCTGTGGATTATTCCTCTCTGCTGTAAGTGTGGGGGAAAAAATCAAATGCTGTCATCTATTGCTTCTCATGACCAGATGAAGGGAGTGCAGAGCAGGAAAGCACATGTGAGAGACCAGTTACAACAATGCAGACTGGCTGTGGGTGGGAGTACAGTCCAAGGAAGGGCCAATCATAGGGGTTTCTGAAGCTGGAGGGGGTGTGGCTGGTTCTAACAAGTCCAGAGGTGCCACTATTACTTGTTTTATTTAAACATAATCAGACTACTGCTTTTTTGAAAATAATTATTCCACCTAGCTTGGCCAGCTGTTTTTACCAAGAGGTTACTACAGTATTTTTGTCATAACATGAAAATATATGGTTAATATGTTGACATATGTAATGCATTACATTTTCAAGGAATTCAATCAAATCAAATTAAAGATACTTTATTAATTCCAGAGGGAAATTAGAGTTTCAGTACACACAATTCAGAGATCAGACATACATGGACAAGACACATGACAAGAATTGGTGACTGTGGTCATTCGCAACCCTGAGTCGCTCTACCTTAATAGAGATAAGAGGGTTACATGAGGATTGGTTCAGGTGGAGGGAAACAAAAGGCACTTCAGAGTTACCCTCCATAGGGAGGGCAGCTTTGCTCTGCAAAAAAACACCCCAGTCAGATATGCAACAGACTTCAGACAACACACAACATACGTGTCCACTAAGTGGGGTGGTGGGTTGGAACTATCCCCACTTCAGTTCCTGCAGCCACGATAGAAGCAGTTCATGTCACCTCAGTGTGGATAGGGGGAGGAGCATTGAGGGTTGGAGGGTTGCAGTGACCCTGGAACGTTTCAAGCGCCCTTCCCACAGTCCCGCCCAGGCTGGGAAAGGAGACAGAGTTGAGTTGCCATAGCGATGGCACTGTAGCGTTATGAGTATGCTATTGTCTGCCCTTAACAGCTGCCCTTTTCCACAGTGACAAAGCACACGACCTTGGCAATTCATGCACTTTGTCACTGTGGAAAAGGGCAGCTTACTCATAACGCTACAGCACATTCCACATATCTTCTGAGGGGGGAGTCGTCTTTGGAGCCTTGCAGGCTCAAGGACGCCAGATTCCGATTAGAAATTGTTTTGGGGCCAAACAGAGATAATTTCCTCGCTGTCTTACAGTTTGTTCGTCCTCAACCTCTCAAAATCCCAATAATGGACATTAATCTATCCCAATCCATGCTGATTCGTCCGCTCTACCCTTGATGGCATCCATCTTTGTGCCAATGATAAATCTCGGCCAAAGTTCCAAGCTTACGATTCATCTAAACAATTATGTGAGTCTGTGAATTCACAGCGCGGTGCAAACCATCTCTGAGGTCCGGGATCAGGCCAATATTCCTTGACAGCTCGTTAATTTTCTGGTAAGCCAGGTAGCCTCCAATGCCGATCAGCAGGAAACCCGACACCAACACCACGAATATCCACACGTCTTCGGAGTCCTCCACAGACGCTGGTCTGTCCCAGAGGGGCATCTGGGAGCCCCTTCTCCCGTTCTCATCTTTTCATCGTAAAATATATCAAAAGTTTAAACGCAACAACAGGATGTCCTTCTAAAGTGCTACCCACGCACGTGATCTACGGCACCCTTAAAGTGCATGTCAAGTGTGCCTCAGAGTCTTACCCCACCCACGTATCAATTTTGAAAACTGCAACATTAGTAGGCGTTGCCTGGAGGACCGAGAGGGCGGAGCCGTGGCAGTGACGAAGAGACGGCTAACTAGACGAAGCTAGCTCCCTTCACTCTGAGCAGTCATTAGAAGTGGAGGACGTTTCTCCCCCTCCTTACCCAGACACTCGAGAAGAAAGGGACCAAGTCTATTTGGAGGAGACAAGCGGACATGAGCCTTATTGTTTTGAGCTTGTGAGTTGCCTGAAATTACTGGAACCGACCCAACAGACCCATCTCTGAACGTAAGTAGCCGTTAGCCATAGCATTGGATTAGCTGCAGGGTTTGTCTCCATGGCCCCAAAAAGCTAGTATTCAGCATGTTTTAGAGATTTATCTGCATCAACACACCTGGTTTTAATCAGCAACAAACAGCTGAGCTGCTTAACAGCTTATCTAACCTGTTAAAGCAGTAAAATCCACTGAAACGTGCTGGATAGCAGCTCTCCAGGAGATCTGGGCTCAAGCTAGTCTGCTGCATAAAGTTATGAAAATATACCATGAGAAAATTATTCTGTAATGTGTTCAGCCCATTAAAACTGCCCTGATTTCATTATTTATTTACTGATACTAGCTGCTCTTGGTTGCAGGTGATCCTCTGGTGTCTGCAGCTGGTCTCCTGCTGATGTCGTCGGGATCAGGAACTTCCAGAAGAATGTGCCTTTCAATGACTCTTTCCCCCTTATTTGTTATATTAATTAAATAAATCTCAATTTATATATTTCCTGTTTTTGTTCATGTCCATAAATACTTAAACATGCTTGAAATTAAAACGAGCTTTTAACAGTGAGGTGCTAGTTTAGTTCATCACAATAGAGCTAGTTAAACATGCAACAATGTGATAATTCAATTAATGTAATTTATAAATATCCATTAAAATATCAAAACTGGAATCAAAATGAGATATTTGGCAGCACAAAAAACTTGTCAAACACAATATTTATTATAATAATTGTAGGCAGACAGGAGACAGAGCTGATGGAGGTTCTCAGTCATCGAAGGATGGCTGAAGGCTTTCCAGGAACAGGAGATGTGGTGTTGTCTCTTCTCTCTCTATTCTGCCAGATGAGCTGATAGGTTACAGGTGTGTGAGGACATCCTCATGCTGTCATATCCAGATGACAGAGTTATCAGGTGATCAGCCAGGCTAATGATGAGATGCAGAAAGAAAACAAATCATGCAGAAAGAAAACAAATCCAGGACAGTGTACAGTAATAAAAATAATATGTGGTGTTGCTTACCTTATGTGCTCTTATAGAGTTATTAACGTGTGCCTGCCTCATGGTGTAGAGTCCATATTTTGCTGAGTGTCCTGCAGTAATGCAGGTTATTAGTTAATTTACTTTTGATAGCAAAAACAAAATATTTAATTTAAAAGTTATTTACCAGGTGAATCAGCTCACACGTCACCACCTGGTGGTGACCACCAAGTGTCACAGGGCCAGAATCAGTAGCCTCCTTCATGATGTAATCACATACTTATTTAATTGTTAATATCTTAAAAATTCAGAAATGTTTTAATTTTTTTTTACCTTGAACAGTTCACTGAGCTTGCACTGTCACTGAGGTGGAAGCTGGAATCAACAGCAGACACCTCACACCGTGGTCTTTTCAGGAGGTGTGGATGCTCTGGGACCTTCTGGAAGATGAATTTCTGTCATGGTCCCTGTGTCACAAGACACTGAGGCTGTGAGCTCTATAAAAAACAAAGAAGCAGCACATTTATGAACGTTTAAAAGAGCATAAAATCACGTGTAACAATCTGTAAAACAAATTAAAACTAGAAGGTAATAAAATGTTTACATAGAAGATTATTAAAAATAATTCACCTTTGCTACGGGTAACACCACGTCAGCCTGGACAAGTGCATTCTTGCAGATTACTAAATCAGTCTGACAGCCAGTGTCTTGGGTAGATTTAGCCTGAAAAAAAATAGAAGCAGATTGATGTTTATAAAGTCAGATAAAATACAAAAGAAACTGTCCCATATAGGCGCTTTATAACATTCCTAGTGTGTGATGTTATTATAAAGTAAAAGTCAGTCACATATGATGTGGAGACCCTGAAATGCGACCTCCTGAACAGAATTCCTCACGGAACCGGGTCACAAGCTGGATTTCACGCTGTAATGATGTCTGTCAACTAGTGCTGCGTCAGTTTAGAGTCACTGTTGCTGAATTACCGACTGACACAAAAACAACCCGAATTTTCTCTGAGCCTGACAGTCATGTGGACCGTTTTGTCGGCCAGGGCTTCGAGATATGTTCCGATTCGCCGCTGATTCTAACCTTACATCCCGTTCCACATTTTGTGAACTTGACAAAATAGCCCGAAGGCAGTGCAGACTGATATTAGCTAAATGGAGTGAACCACGTCTCTCAAACTTTGCATTTAGGTAGGAAATTGTCTTTAGAAGATGTTAAAACTTTTATTTAGCTTACTCACCTCAGACTGTAGCCCGTCATGGTGGGGGAGCAGAGTCGGTGGGCTGTATCTAAATCGCGGAAGAGCCACGGTGGGCACAGCCTCCCTCTTGGAACGGAGACGTGCAGAATCGCGGGTAAAATGCTGGTTGCAAACTACAGCACCAGGCGGGAGCTGAATCTTTTCCAGACACGCAACCACTGGCGCCTAATTTCTAAGTCCAGCGGAAAGGAGTGCAACCCGACAGAGCTCCGCAACCATACTACACTACACCATCTCACCATGCTAACACGATATGGAGCACTAAACCCGAACTACTTTCCTAATTACACTAACAGCCAAACAGTAACTAAACTACAATATCCAACAGCCAAGCTAACACTAAATAAGTATGTATAACACTAAAAGCTATGCTAAAGACTAGGATATGCTAATGCTATATGCTAATGCTGAACTACCGCTAGCCTCCTACACTCTCATGCAAATCCAACTCCCAACTCGCCACAAGGCGTGGCCGAGACTCCCGATGCTTTTATAACGTTGACACAGAGCTGCTACGTAGTACTCTACTGGATTACGTAGTATCTTACTCTTTAGCCATTGGCTAAAATTTATTCAAAATGAGTCAAATTCTATGTTTTAAGCTGAAGGTGGAGCTATACTGTGGTATTTAGGCAGAATTTTTAATTTTTTAAGAAAATGCACCAAAATGCTAAAATAATGAATACACACATTTAAAACACTATTAGACACTCATTTATACAGTTCATCAGCAAAAAAAAGTTAATTTAGACGTTACTTGCTCTTTAACGGTCAAATGCTTCGGAGCGGTGGCCCAAGCGGGAGCTCATCATGCAGCCAGATTAGAATTTAAATATTGATGTTTTAATTTCATGTCATTTCAGAGGGGAATTTTGAGTATGTAGAGAGTGTATTTCATATTACAAACATAAATTTGATAAACTTTTTTTTTTATTTTGCGCCCTATCCATCAGATGGCGCCCCAGGCGGCCGCCTGTGCTACCTGTCGGCAAAGCTGGCCCTGACTCTACCACTGACTCAGTTTGTTCTGCAACATTGATGTTTTATCTACTCAAATAACACAAGCCTGGAGGAGTTCTGCCATGTGGTGGTGTTGCTAATGCTAACAGTTAGCTTCTACTAGCCAAGACTTACTCTGCTCTCTCCTGGATGCTAAACCAACAACCTTCTCCATCATGAGCCAAGATGGGTGTTGGGTAATTTTATCAAACCAGGATTACCTTACGGAAAGTTCAAAGCACAGGGGGTTAAAGTAATCAGCTGATCAAAACCAATACCAATAATCAACAATCAATTTAGACTTTGCAAAGTGGAGAAGAGAAAGTACACACCCAGTCAGTTGCCAGTCTCAATCTCATCGGGCAGATGCCCTCCAAAAGCCTTTCATTAAGCACACACACAGAAAAGATGAACACATTCGACATTCCTCACAGACTCTCAGGCAGGAAGACACACCAGGTGCATTTCTAAATCATCAACAAAGCAGTCTGGACTTTCTCAAGGGAGTTCTTCTGATAAGAGGACCAGTACCAGGCTGGTACCAGGGCAAGGTCAAACCTCCCAAAACCTCCTCCCTGTGATAGCTGAAATGGCCTGTTCTCTATCACAGAGTAAATGGATGAAGCTTTGTTCAGAATCCAGGTGACATTAATAAAGTTAATATCAGTTTTTATCCATCAATGGGTGAGTCCATTTTACAATATGAGTTGCATATGAGTTTAAGTAATTATTATTATTGAGGAACTGTAGACTTAGTGGTACAAAAGGTTTAATAAGAAGCTATGTTGAACTGGGAACTTTTAAAAAGAGTTAGCCCTTAAACAGTCCAACGCCCATGGGGCAAAATGCATTACTGACTGTGTTGGTCTCTAAAGTCACACTGTGCAACTTTTCCATTGTTTAAATTGGTTTCTTGAGCTGGACTCCGCCAAGGCTGCCCTTTGTCACTGATTCTGTTCATAACCTTTATGGACAGGATTTCTAGGCGCAGCCAAGGTGTTGAGGGCATCCGTTTTGGTGGCCTGAGGATTGGGTCTCTGCTTTTTGCAGATGATGTGGTCCTGTTGGCTTCATCAGAATGTGATCTTCGGCTTTTGCTGGAGCGGTTCGCTGCCGAAATTGAAGCAGCAGGGATGAGAATTAGCTCCTCTAAATCCGAGACCATGGTCTTGATTCAGGAAAGGGTAGAATGCCTTCTCCGGGTCAGGGATGAGGTCCTGCCCCAAGTGAAGGAGTTTAAGTATCTCGGGGTCTTGTTCACGAGTGAGGGAAACCTGGAGTGCGAGATCGATAGGGTTGTACCGATCTCTTGCAGTGAAGAGAGAGCTGAGTCAGAAGGCAAAGCTCTCAATTTACCAGTCGATCTACATTCCTACCCTCACCTATGGTCATTAGCTTTGGGTAGTGACCAAAAGAATGAGACTGAGGATACAATCGGCCCAAATTAGTTTTCTCTGCAGAGTGGCTGGCCTCTCCATTAGAGATAGGGTGAGAAGCTCAGTCATCCAGGAGGTGACAAGCTCAGTCATCCAGCAGGGGATCAGAGTAGATCCGCAGCTCCTCCACATCGAGAGGAGCCAGTTGAAGTGGCTCGTGCATGTGGTCAGGATGCCTCCTGGACGCCTCCCTGGTGAGGTTTTCCGGGTACATCCAACCGGGAGGAGGCCTAAAGGGAGACCCAGAACACGGTGGAGGGACTATGTCCCTCACGTATCTCACCTGGCCAGGGAACGCCTTGGGATTCCCCCAGAGGAGCTGGCCCAAGTGGCTGGGGAGAGGGAAGTCTGGGCTTCTCGACTTAAGCCTGGTTCATGCTTCTCCGTCAGCTCCGCAAGGGACAGACACGCACGGATTGACGGAAGCGTTTTGTTCTCATACTTCTCCGTCTCCTGGGGAGTGTTGCAAAGCAATTGCCCGGCAGGACAACAGAGGGCATAACGCTGTTCTGTGGTATCCTGTCATGTATCTGGTCCAAAATAGTGTGTTTATATTGTGTTTTTTGTGTATATAAGAGACTTTTTAACACGGACAAATTTGTCTCTCATCCTCCTCCACCTCTTCATGCGCTCCCCACCTCTAAACCCACGTTTCCTGTCATTTCCGTCCACAAATAAAATGCTTGCTGCGCATCTTTTCACTCCTCCAGTCACGGGGAATTAAACGTTCATGTTTTTAGAGTTTTTACGCGAGGTATTCTTCAAGCTTCTTTGTGTCTGCCGCTAGTTATCCTCGGCTCTCTTTATGTTTTTGA